GAAATTCAGCACCGTCATTCCCAACACCGTTACCTGGCTAAGATACGTTGATGATATATTGGTTTTCTATCCGAGACGTCTCAATATCCAGGCCCTTCTCAACAAGATCAATGCAGCCGAACCATCAATAAAGTTTACACTTGAACTCGAAAAAGGATGGCAAACTTCTTTTCTTCGACGTTCTCCTGTGCAGATCTCCTGACAGTGACAAACTTCTCTTCAAAGTGTATAGAAAACCCACCAACAAGGACGATCTTATACACTTCTATTCACACCAAGACACCCGCACCAAAAGAGGAGTCCTCATTGGCTTCTTGAGAGCTCTTCGCGTCTCCAGCCCTTTTCTTGAAGAAGAATGTATTTACATCAGACAAGCCTCTACACGTCTACAGTTCTCATCTTTCTTCATCCGAGATTGCAGACTCAAGGCACAAGCTATCCTCAACAAACCTCCATGGAACAGCCCTCTAAGCAGTTCATAGTGCTCCCATGTGGTGATGTTGCCACGAATATTCGCCGGGCACTTGCTAAGAGTAACATCAACGTTTCCACCATAAACACATCATCTGTCAAACACATCATTACGAAACGCAAGCCCCACAGCAGGCGTCTACACCATCCCCTGTGGATTCAGTCCCAAGAAATATTTAGGAGGGAGAGGCAGAGATCTTACGGTCCGCTTGAACGAGCATCGAAGTGCCTGTAACAAGAGACGATTTAAGGTACACCTGTGTCCTCCACAGAGACTCCATGAGGCATATGATTAAGAGGAATGAGGACACCTGTTCCTACAGCCCTGGGCAATCGACCGGTGGCTGGGCTAAGCCGTCACCGGAGGCCGGTTAGATTCCGCGCTAATACACTTCGATCACTTCTACACTTTAGTCGTACTAACACTAGGAAATCAGACCAGTTCTAGACATTAACACATGAAACCTTAAGCAGGGCAAGCATAGACCAACCAAAACAGGAGTCACATGATTCATCGTCTTCCGTTCCTATCCCAAGTGGCATTCTCAGGGTACAATGCGTAACAACTACTCATTTCTTGCTGTATAATGAATTGCATTACCTCTGTTGTTAGCGAAGTGATCAAGAGTCTCAGGACAGAACGTTTCTCAATAAATGCATAGGTTTGCTACGTCTTTCTAAACAACTTGTCGGAATTTTAAAACAGTTTATGCCAATAATTAAAGATATAATACACAACAATATAATATATATATACATCTATATACTAGTCTAAATTAAATGTATATCTATATATAATTCTACACATATATATATATTCTATGTATATATAATGTAACTTTAAGAAATCGTATGAAGTATAGGTCTAGTGGCTAACGACGACGTGTTCTGAAGTTTTGAGTTCTAGTCTTTCAAATCAATTCGGCCAGGGGTTTATGGATTATTATATATAATATAATTATATATATATATATATATTATATATATATATATATATATTATATATATAAAAGTCTCAACACTGTCGCTTGATCTTCAGTTAGTTCCAGACTTTGGAACAGAACTTCTCCAGGCTGAGGGACTGACAACCTCAAATCTACGACTTCAAGGGTGATGGACTTATTACATCATCTTCACATCTCTACTGCTCCTGCCTACTTTCTGTACTCGACTGAAGAAGCCTACTGTGTAGGCGAAACGTTTCGGAATAAAGTTGCCTAAATGTTGCCTATGCGTCTTATCTACCAGCCTCTCTCTCTCTCTCTCTCTCTCTCCTCGCTCGCTGCCCCCTTGTATTTCTTCTTCCTTTCCTCCCTTCTTTTTTTCCTATTCCTCCTTCCCTCTTCCATCTTCTCCATCTTTCCTTCCCTTCTCTACCCTCTCCTTCCTTCCCTGCCTCCTCCCTCCTCTCCTCCTTGCCTCCCCGTCATCTCCTTCATTCCTGCCTCCTCCGTCATCTCCTCATCCTTCCTCCTCCACCTCTGCTCCTGCTTCCTCCATCCTCTCCTTCCTTGCCTCTCCATCCCTCCTTCCTTGCTTCTCCATCCTCTCCTTCCTTGCCTTCTCCATCCTCTCCTTCCTTGCCTCCTCCGTCCTCTCCTTCATTCCTTGCCTCCTCCATCCTCTCCTTCCTTGCCTCCTCCATCCTCTCCTTCATTCCCTGCCTCCTCCATCCTCTCCTTCATTCCCTGCCTCCTCCATCCTCTCCTTCATTCCCTGCCTCCTCCATCCTCTCCTTCCTTGCCTCCTCCATCCTCTCCTTCCTTGCCTCCTCATCTCCCTTCCTTGCCTGACCGCCAACCTCTCGTTCCTTGCTCCTCCATCCTCTCCTCCTTGCCTCCTCCATCCTCTCCTATCCTTGCTGCACAATCTCTCCTTCTTCCCTCCATCCTCCCTTACCTTGCCTCCTTCCATCCTCTCCTTCTTGCTCTCCTCCATCCGCTTCACCTGCTTGCCACCTCCCATCATCACTTCCTTGCTCTCTCTGCTCCTTCCTTGCCTGCCTCCTCCACAGTGTCCTGGAGACTGGAAGCACAACGCAGGTTGGTGCACACACTGCAGCTTCCCACCATCACACCGTGTAGGCACAATTTAAAACATTCTTCCCTAGCATACGTGCATATATTTTCATGCTTCCTGTGTGAGTTTATAGCCAGGCTTCATGCTGAAGCATTTCTCACCGCGCACTAGGTAGCGTTGTGTGTCGTCTTCTGTGGGTCGAGCTCTAGCTCCTGGCTCTCTCTTAACTGGCCGTTGAAGATAAGGACATAAGAAAGAAGGAACACTGCAGCAGGCCTGTTCGCCCATACTAGGCAGATCTTTCTCAAACATATGTAAAGATTCTGCTTTCTCCACTTCTTCCTGATCTGTCTGAGGCTGAGGATATACTTCCTGGCATCCCTCTGCTTATTCCTAAGAATGCCCTCGTCTGTTTGGTTCCCGCCCCTCAAAATGTAGGTAGGAAGGCAAGCGGAAAGGTAGATATGTAGGCTAGCAGAAAGGTGGATGTGTAGGCTAGCAGAAAGGTGGATATGTAGGCTAGCAGAAAGTTAGATATGTAGGCTAGCAGAAAGGTGGATGTGTAGGCTAGCAGAAAGGTGGATATGTAGGCTAGCCGAAGGTAAGATATGTAGGCTGCAGACAGGTTGACACGGTTGACCAGGCGCCAAGGGCACCTGGTCAACCGTGCCATTCCACGCATGTACCGCGTGTGTGTCGTGCAAGTATCGCGTGAGTGTCGTGCAAGTATCATGCAAGTGTCATGGGAGTCATGTGAAGAAGTCCAAGGTGACAGTAGCCGCGGCATGAAGGATTCTCCGGGAGGTGGGGCTCGTGAAGATGTTCTAAACAATTCACGAAAGATTGAACCCTCAGTAGTACACAAAACCCAGACCTAAGGGAAAGGCACTAAGTGGTACACAAAAACCCAGGGACCCTCAAGGGAAATGAAACTACGTGGACACAAAAAACCCAGGGGGGGGGGGGGGGGGGGACTCTCCAGACACTGGAGGATGAGAACGAAAGGTGTGTATACCAGGTGAGATATAATGCATACAATGTGTGTTTATATTGGATGGGGTATAATGTTCACTTAGGCGCACTTACAGATAATATTTCTGCTCCCTAATATCTACTGCCGCTCCCTACTATCTGCCTCTATTCCTGCCTTCCTAATAACCTTTCTGTACAGGGACAAAACAATGTAAGGGGCGGGAACCAGACAGACGAGAACTTTGAAATTTAAGGATAGAATAAGGCGAGAATGTCAGGAAAATGTATGTACGTTTATATTTACGGGATGTGATATACAATGTATCACGGGTACAGTGAACTTTTTCTACTGTACTAATGTGTACAGTTATATGGGACATTGTACAACATAATATATATGATAAAATGAAGGTGAATATAACGTTTAATAAGGATGTAAAAACCCACTTGGAGACGTAAAAAAATAAAGAGGGACTGCTTATTTTGACCTCTGAGGCCCTCTTCAGTAGATAAGAACCTTACAGGTCAAGCTACACGACTGCCTCTTCATTACTTCTTTAATTTATAGATACCAGTGTATTTCAATGTTTCCAGTGGATATCCTATGTTGCACTGCAAACATTGCGTTGTTATATGCAATATAGGATGCAGTACTGTCGCAAACAGGCGATCTTAACAGAACAAGTCACATGGGGATGGAAATCTTTAGCTCAAGATCTTTCACACTCATGCGTCGTTAGGAGCTATGCAATGTTGCAAGATTAGCAACAGATAGGAGGGAAAAATTCACTCTGAGGCAGAAGTAAATAGCGTCGGGCCATGACACAGTGTAGGTATAACAGGTATAACACAGGATATACTACACACCATGTATAACACAGGATATACTACACTCCAGGTATAACATAGGTATATCTATTAGGTATATTTTGACGACCAGTAAAATTCATTATTTAAAATATATGTCCAGTAGAACAACAAATTTGAATTTGCTCAACAAACACTCTTTGCAGGTGTTTATGAGTTGTGATTACACATGCTGTTGTGCAATTACAGGTGTTGCTGTGATATTACAGGTATTGCTGTGACATCACAGCTGTTATTGTGATACAGATATTGCTGTAGTTGCAGGTGCTGCTGTGTTATTACAGGTGTCACTGTGATATACAGTATTACTGGTAATTACAGGTTTGTAATACTACAGATATACTGATGTTGTATTTACTGGTGTCGCTGTGATACTACAATTATTGCTGTAATTACGTTGTCTTGTGATACTAAGGATATTGCGGTATTACTGGTGTTGCTATGATAGTACATGTATTGCTGTAATTACAGGTGTCGCTGTGATACTATAGGTATTGCTGTAATTACAGGTGTCGCTATGATACTACAAGTATTGCTGTAATTACAGATGTCACTGTGATACTATAGGTATTGCTGTAATTACAGGTGTTGCTATGATACTACAGGTATTGCTGTGTAGTTCCAGGTGTTGGTGTATAATTAGAGCACATACAGTAAGTCATTATACTCACCCAGTACACGTAACAATAAGTTTCTCTCAGTCATCATTCTCATTCTGAAAAAAAAAAATGGGTGGGGTGGGAAGAAAACAGTTTTTTTTTTTCACGTATGTTTACATGTATTAACATTGTTACTTCGGAAGATTCTATAATTAACAATATGGAATTATATGCTTAGTCTAATGCAACCAAAAATGTGTGATACGGGTGATCAGTCGAACACCAGAAGTATACACACGGAGAGGTGTATGCTTCTCAGTATATATACACTGGAAATATACACACGGAAAGGTGTTTGTTCTCAGTGTATATACACTGGAAATATACACACGGAGAGGTGTATGCTTCTCAGTATATATACACTGGAAATATACACACGGAGAGGTGTATGCTTCTCAGTATATATACACTGGAAATATACACACGGAGAGGTGTAGCTTCTCGTGTTATCACTGGAAATAAACTCACGGATGAGGTGTATGCTTCTCAGTATATATACCTGGGAATATACACACGGAGAGGGTGTATGCTTTCTCTGTGTATATACACTGGAAATATACATACGGAGAGGGGTTTGCTTCTCGTGTATATACCACTGGAAAATACTAGGAGAGATGTATGCTTCTCAGTGTATATACACTGGAAATATACATACGGAGAGATGTATCCTTCTCAGTGTATATACACTGGAAATATACATACGGAGAGATGTATCCTTCTCGCACATAGGAGAGAGAAAAAAATAACTAAATGGTTATAGCTATGACCATAAATTTTAAATCGGTAAGCCAGTGGAAGGCCTCGGTCAGATGACCAAAGCCTCCAACGGCGAGTCATTTGTTTATTGTTTCCAGTCACGGTATTGTTGCCTTTTGTTCTTACTCCAATGTTAATTTTATCACTGTTTAGAGGTTTAAATATCTTGACGGTAGTGAACAGGTTACGTTAGGTCTACATTGGTCAAAGGCAACTTGTCGATTATAAAACACGTGGCTGTTTGGGTAGTGTAGTTGCGTTTGAGTAGTTTTATTAATGATCATCGTGTAGTCGATAGACTTCATAACCCAATTACCCAAGGGATCAGATAAAGATATAAAGCAGAGAATAAGAGTAGTTAGCAATTTTCTCGTAGAGCTGAGGAACAAGAGATAATCTTCAAACGCGCCATGAAGAACGGCTCAGCTGTTAAACGAAATATTGTACTCTTTATCTATGTTTTTGTCTGAATATAGTGTGGTAGACCTCGGCCGCCATGTTGTAGGATAGTTAATGAGTGCCTGCTTGTTGGAAGCCAGGAACCACACAACACAAAACACACACACACACACACACACACACACACACACACACACACACATATTCAGGGCGCATATAACAGGTCGGGCACTGCAATGAGCAGAGAATACCTGACAGGGAGGCGACAACGAGTCATGGTGACGTGGTAATGATTATCCACAGTGGGCACTGTGACGAGCGGGTGTCCACAGGGGTCGGTCCTAGGACAGTGCTATTTTTGGTATATGTGAACGACATGACGAAGGGTTAGACTCAGAAGTGTCCCTGGTTGCAGATGATGTGAGTTAAATGGGAGAATTATATCTGATGAGGACAGGCAGGCTTCAAAGAGTCCCTGGACAGATGGGAAACTGGTCCAGCAAATGGCTTCTCGTATTTAATCCTGCCAAATGCAAGTCATGAGTAGGGGAAGGGACAGAAGACCACAGACAGAGTATAGGGTCGAGGTGCAAAGACTGCAAACCTCATCAAGGAGAAAGATTTGGGGGAGAGTATAAACACCGAGCATGTCTCCGGAAGCACACACAAATCGATAACTGCTGCAGCATATGGCGCCTGGCTAACCTGAGAACCGATTCGACTCCTTAGTAAGGAATCATTCATGGACACTGTTCACGTGTATGTCAGGCCATATGGATTTATGCAAGCACCTGTTTGGAACCCGATTGATAAAGCACGTCACGAAAATAGAGAACGTTACAAAGGTGTGCAACAAGGTTTAGTTCCAGAGCTAAGGGGAATGTCTATGAAGTAAGATTAAGGGGAAATCGGCCTGACGGACACTGGTGGACAGGAGGGTAGGGGAGACATGATAACGACATATAAATTCTGCGTGAATAGACAAGGTGGAAAGGACAGGGATGTTCCAGGGTGGGGGACACAGAAGAACAAGAGGCACCAATTGGAAGGTTGGAAGACAAAAATGAGGTCAGAGAGGATAGTTGGAAGTATTTCTGTCAGTCATAGAGTTGTAAGGCAGTGGAATAGCCTAGAAAATGACGTAGTGGAGCAGGAAACCATACACAATTTTTAAGAGAGTTTCGTTAAAGCTATGGAGGGGGGAGGAAAGAGGAGGGTCTAGTAGCAACGGTGAAGAGCGGGGCCAGGAGCCTAGGACTACGACCCCTGGCAACCACAAATAGGTGAGTACAAATAGGGGAGTTCACACACACACACACACACAACACACACACACCAGTGCTATTTTTGGTATATGTGAACGACATGATGGAAGGGTTAGACTCAGAGTGTCCTGTTTGCAGATGTGAAGTTATTGAGGAGAATTTAAATCTGATGTGGACAGGAGGACTTCATAGAGACCTGGGACTGAATGGGACAAATGGTCCAGCAAATGTTTCTCGAATTTAATTCCTGCAAATGCAAAGTCATGAAGATAGGGGAAGGGCACCGAAGACACCGACAGAGTATAGGCTAGGTGGCCAAAGACTGCAAACCTCACTCAAGGAGAAAGATCTTGGGGGTGTGTAAAACACCGAGCATGTCTCCGGAAAGCAAACATCAATCAGATACTGCTGCAGGCATATGGGGCTGCTAACCTGAGAACAGCATTCCGATACTAGTAAGGAATCGTTCAAGACACTGTACACGTGTATTGTAAGGCCATACTGGAGTATGCAAGCACCTGTTTGGAAGCCGCACTTGATTTTAAAGCACGTCAGAAATAGAGAAAAGAAAATACAAAGGTTTGCGACTAGGTTAGTTCCAGAACTAAGGGGAATGTCATCTCCTATGAAGAAAGATTAAGGGAAATCGGCCCCCTGACGCATGGGAGGGACAGGAGAGTCAGGGGAGACATGATAACGACATATATAATACTGCCATAGGATTAGAACAAGGTGGCAAAGACTGGATGTTCCATGGGAGGGGACAGGAAACAAGAGGCCCACAGTGGAAGTGAAGACACAAATGAGTCAGAGAGAAATTAGGAAGTTTTTCTTCAGTATAAGTTGTAAGGCAGAGGAATAGCTAGAATAATGACGTAGTGGAGGCAGGAAGGAACCATACACTGTTTAAGACGAGGTTTGATAAAGCTCATGGAGCGGGGAGAGAGAGAGAGGCCTGTAGCAACGGTTGAATGAGGCGGGCCAGGTGCTAGATCCGACCCTGCAACTACAAATATGGGAGTACAAAATAGGGAGGTCACACACAAAATGACCTTCGGATGCCTGAGCAAAAGATTCATTCAACGCTCTATGATCACATAAAGTAAGACATCATGATCTCGAGTACACCAGTCTATGCAGCAAGGAAGCCACTCATAGCAGAGGGAAACTATAACTATACAAAATCAATTTAAAAGCATATAAACTTGATTTTAGGTGTTTGGAGAACAAAACTATTGCAGGAGACATATGTCGACATTTATAATACGTAGACAGATAGACCAAGATCAAGTTACTCCTTTAATGTCAAGGAGGTGAAATGAACGAAATAAGGAAACAATGTTTGGTTCCAGAAGCTGTTAGATCAACACCTACATACGTTACTGCGAGCTATAGTGTTCATACAAGGTGTTTTCACTAATCTTTAAAAACCAGTCGGCTTGAACTCATTATTGGTTGCTTTTGTTCAAAACTTAAGAAACCGGTTCGTCCTTGTGGTGGTGAAGAGGTGGGGCTAAATTCCCTACACTTGTTGCCCCTGTTCACCTAACAGTAACAGTAACTTGATACCTGGGTGCTAGCGACAAGTGGACAGCAGCCTTGCAGATAGAGTAGGCTATAATAGGACTAGACTTCGAAAAACATTGAGGTTGGATGTACATCACAGCCTGATGCTTTTGAGATTTCGTCTGTAAAAATCCTTCATTTATGAGTCAAGAGTGGTGTACTACGCTACTTCCTGGTGTGTAGTAAAATGCACCAAAGTTTTTATGACTCTTATTGGGCCGGGTATGGCACAGTGGATAACAGATGACCAGCTAGTTTTTAGGACTAGCTTGCCTGGTTTCAAATCCTTCCGTACGGTGAACGGAGGGTAGGAAAAAAAACATCTTTGCATGTCAGTTGAAACTGTGTAAAAAGCATTAATCTGCCAATCTAACACTTCTGGGGTGCTGGAGATACTTGTCTGAGAGATGCGTAATCTTACAAAACCACTTAAGCACTTGCTGGTGTTCAACATACTTGTGCTGAGAGATACGGAGAATAATACTCCTACAGGTTCCTCAGGTACCGTAATAATAATTTCTCTCTAGCTCAGGTTTATTGAACACTTACGGACTTTCTTATAAGATTAATACACAATAAATAATTTTGTAAGTGTCGGAGGTGTAATTAGTGTGTTATGTTGAGCAGAAATAATAGTTACTTCAACAGTTGTGAGAAAATTTCTCGGGGACTCAAAATGTTGCCATAGAAAAAAATAATAAACCACAATAATTGTATAAGGACAAGCTGATGGCAACACTTTTAAAAATGTTCACTTTATTGAATCACAAGTCTTTGTTTTGCACATTTTTTATTGAATCACGAGTTTTTTCAATAAATATATATCAAATTATTTCTATATGTATGACAATCACGCATTTTTTACTGTTAAAGCATTTACTCTTTTTTTATTTGATTTTAGCTTGCAGTTTCTCAAGCGACGCAACATTAGAAAGCAACAGTTCAAGTTGAACTAAATTATCAATGTGCAGGAGTGGTCAGTGCTGCGCACAATTAAAGAAACTGATGCATAATAGGATTGTGTTGTTAGCACCAACAGTCTGACTGGTCCAGGTTATCAACAGGAGGAG